ATATAGCTTAGAACAGCCTGATTATCTGTTGCTAATCACCTCTTCTAGTGTTTTAGGATACTTCTAAGTTTAGTACAGGTAATCCTTGTAAAGGGTAAACTATTTGTTAAGCCTGGCTAATACAAAAAAAACAATAGGTCAAATCTTTCCTACAACCAGTTTATCATAAAGCTCCTTATAGTATCTAGAAGACTATTGAATTTGAATTTCATTTTTAAATATTTATTCTTTATTTTTAGTTATTTTTATTTATTGTATTTTTCTTTAAATAAAAGATCTTCTACTCAATACTAATCACTTTAAAATTTGCTACAACTTGATAGTTTTTAGTAAATTTTATTACAATACATATATATCTTATTATAATAAACTTGATATACTGGTAGTGCTATAGTAAGTAGCTATATTGAAAATTTTTTTAGCCTAATGGCTTTATTATAACAAGAATCACTTATAATTAAGTATATAAATATAAAAGTAAATATTTTATTAGCATAATAAATAAAAATTACACTAAAATATAAAATACTTATTTTGCAGCCTTATTTTATTAGTAAGCTTTTGGTACTTTTGTTTTTTGTTATACTATCTATATTGGCCAAATGAACTTAACAATGAATCATAAATAAGGAATCTTAAGTTTCATTATTAGATACATTTAGAGATAAAAACATTCAAAAAAAGAAAAGTGCAAATAAATAAATCTAGAAAGTATTGAACAAAAGAACTGATTATTATAAATTAAATTAAAATAATATATGTAGCAGATCATAATAAGATTATAATATAATAAAATTTAACTTATTTTATATCTGATTTTTAAATTTTTTTGGAGCCTTTTTGGTTAAATTTTTTTTTATAATTAAGTTAGGATTTAGGTTAAGAATTATTAGAAAAAGAGTATAGGTAGATTTTGGTAGGACTTATATGTTTAAATTAAGACCTTTAAATTTCACAATAATCTGATTTTATTATAATCTGCAACAATAATGATATAAAATAAAAATTTTTACAAAATATGGTCCAAAAAATCTACTAATTTATTTGATAAAAGCTTAAACCCTATTATGTGTATTTTGAAGTTTTTCTAAATATTATAACTAGTGTTTTTCATTGTTATCAAATGCATTTTTTTTTTAGTTACTTTAATATTAATAAGATTATTAGAATATATCAATGATGTGATAAAGTTGCCTATTAATGCATTTCTAATAATTCACTAATTCTACAAATGCCTTTTTTTATAACAATAATTATTAAGTAAATCTATAGACAATTGCAATTTCTAATTCTTTCAGCCATGTATATACATATTGTTCATATACTGGGCATTATTTATGCTACAATTTTAGTAGAGATTTTTCTAAAATCCATGTATTTTTAGATGTATTAAAAATAACATCTATTTAATAAAATTGATTATTATATTTAAAAGGTAAAATTATAGCCTCATTTGAATATTACTTATTACTGTTATCTCTTATAATTTATTTGGCCTAAAAATAGGAAAGTGCTGTTTATTGCACTTAAGAAACATTATTTATTTAATTATGTCAGAGTAAAGCCTATTATGTAATGCTGTAATATACAATCTAGCATCTGAAAACAAATACTCAAAAGAGACTAATATAGTTGGAACTGATAGATATTTCTGAGCCAGATTTAATAGCATAAAAAATTTGTTTGCATTATCTTACCATCATGTTAATGAATTATATTTTCTTCTTTGAATGAGTTCATAAATATAATAATCAACTTCATTCTCTTTAGTTACAGTACTTAATTCTTTTTTTATTATATAAATTTAACATTAAATTATTAGATCTAGCAAATTCATTATTTCTTGAAATTTTTTCAATCAAAGGTTAGTAATGTTCTTTCTCAAAACAGAGTCTTTGCACTGTATTAATTGTGATTATTTTTATATTCTTATCATTAATAAAATTCATATTCTTTATTTAAGAGTTCAAAAATGATGCAATAAGTTCAACTTCATTAGGAACTTCTCAATACTCTTTGAGAGAAAGATAACTTGCAGTTTTATCATATTATATAACTCTACAGTAATAACAGATAGTTTTATTAAATGACGATTTTTAAATTGTGGATCACTATATTGCTTAGATGTAGCTTTTTTATATATATATATTTTTTTTTATCTTTGAGATGCACATAATAGTTGCTAAAGTTGCTCTAAAATAATTGGTGCCTCAAGCTCATATTCTAAATCCAATTCATCAGAATTTTCATTATCAATAACTAATTTAATTTGATCACTTATTTGTTCTATAGTTCCAAATAACAAATCTGTATAATAAGCTTCAGTTTGTCTATCAAAAGGCTCAAACTTTTTAATGAGTAGCTTTATTGTTAAATAAATAAGGTTAAATATAAGATAATTGAAATTAGAAAATATAATAATAGCTTCATAAAATAGCTTTATTAATATAATAAGATTATTTAATAATTATTACTTATCTTCAGTTAAGTTTATTTGTTTAAATATTTATCATCAAGTTAGTTACACTGTTCTACTTCAGATGGCAGCATAAGAACAAGATAATTAATTGCTTTTTTCAATTCTTTGAATCAAACTTAGACTAAGTATAAGGAATTTTATCTCATTGATACATTATCAATTACTTGATATTTTGTTGTTATCAACACTTTTCTTATACATTATTAAGTCATTCAGTTTGCTTAAGGCTTTGGAAAAAAAAAGGATAAAGTTTTTTGCTCACTTAATTAATCATGCTATAGGTTTAAGACCTTTTAGTACACTTAACTGAAGCATATAAACAGAACAAGCTGAATGTATAATATTATTTATCAAACCAATTGCCTTTTTAATATTGCAACTATTGTCAGTTATAATGCAAAAAACTTTTTCAGTTAATCTCTATTTAAAAATAACTTAATTAAGCATACTTTTGATATTTTCAGCCATATGAGATGATAAAATTAGTTGAATCATTAATAAAGCCTCTTTTAATATAAAATTTGAATTAATTCAAGTTGCTATTATTTCAATATACTCTTTATTTGTTCTTGAGCTTCATAGATCTGTAGTCAAATTAATAGATTCTTTATCTATATTTATTATGCCAAATAATTAATTACAACTCTAATTATAAGCTTGATGAATCATTTTTTTTGTAGTCACTTTACAGGAAATCTGAAATCCAGGTTTTAGATTATTTAGAAGTTAACAAAAAGTTTGACAATGCAAAATATTCAATGGTTGGCAATTTTTGATAATAAATTTAACCAAATCTTGCATCAATTTTTCTTATTAATGTTTGGTAATAATATGCAAGGCCTTGACAATTAAATTATCAATATGTTCTTCATTATAATGATCTTTATTAATTCAATGCTTAGACCAGAAATGGCAAAGCATATTTTTAGTTGAAGAGTTATGTACATACTTTACTGTAATATTTTTTTTCTTACAAAGTTAACAAACATCAAAAAAGCCATTTTCTGTTTCTTCAGTTTTAAAATAGTTCTATGCTATACTAGAATTATCTTGTTTCTTTTATTTTTTTTCTTTTTCATCAGATTTATTATTTATAGAAAGTTTATTATTTATAGAAGATTTATTATTTATAGAAGGTTCATTATTTATAAAAGGTTTATTATTTACAGACAATTCTTAATTTTTGAGCAATTCTTTATATTATAGAGAAAATATATCATCTTTATGCATATAATTAGATATCATAAAGCCTAGATTAACCTTTTAAAATGCAATTTATATTTATTTACATAATAAGTATTTATGTTTAACTTAAAGGAATCATACCTGTTTATTAAACCTTTACTTTTATATATATGTTTTTTTTTTTTTTGATAATCAACAACTAGTAAGAGTACAACAACTAGTAAGAGAACAACAACTAGTAAGAGAACAACAACTAATAGACTATAACTAGTAGAATATGAACAGATAATTAGTGCTATATAGCAAAACTACTAGAAGAGCTTTTATAGGTGCACTTAAAACTAAGAACAAATATTCTTAATCTGTCATGTTCTTAGTGAACAAAGAAAATAATGCAAAAAAAAAATTTTTTTATATAAATTCTTTTAAATATTAATTAATTACTAATATAGCATATAAGTATCATACTATAATATGTATCAGTATTGCATATTAGAACTTTTTTTATTTAGGCTATACAAATTTATAGAATTGATATTTATAACATGAAATAGTAATTCATGATGTGAGTGCATGACACAAATCATTATCGATTATATACTATATTACAGCTATTCTTATAATTTTTAGAACACTTAATAAAATTAGTCAAATAAATTTTCAGCTAATTAGATTAAGTTTGTAATTTCGGCATAATAGATTCTATAAGTTATATATATACATAATTTACTATAAGATTAGATAAATAATATAAAACTTTAATAAAAAAAAACCTGATTGGTATTTGTATAAATTATAATCTGAGATAGAATTCTGGTTAAATATAAATTAGTTCTATTAAAATTTAAACCAATTTGTTTATACAAATAAAATAATATTTTATTCAGATCTTTTAATATGTACTTCAATTTGTGCAAAATATTTATTATAAAGGCATTAATATATAGTGCATTTTTTATATAACTTGTTAAGACTTATTAATATACTAAAGAAAATTTCAATGATACTGATATTATTGTTACAATAATCTGTAAAACAGTCATTATGATAAATTAATTTTTATTATCATATCGAAATTGCAAACTTAATCAAATCAGTTTTTATCTGATGTTTCAGAAATTATAAAAATAGCTGTAATTACCAATTATTTATTAACCAGATATTCTAGTCAACTGAATATTTATTTAAAATTGTTTATTAACTAGATACCTACTTATTATATTAAAAATCAATTTGACAAAACTACAATCTGATTAGTAATTTTTTTGGTTCAGGTAAGAGATTACATAGTTACCTGAATAATAAATTGAAATTCTATTTCTAACAGATCTATTAGATCTAATAGATCTAACAAATCTAATAGATATTATATATCTATTATATATATTATTTCTATTATATTTATTATATCTTTTATATATATTATATTCATTATATTTATTATTATTTATTATTTTTTTTTTCCACTTTGGCAGTCTTGTCGATACTCTTTATTAAGATTTCTGTTTATATACATAAACATTTTTAGACTTAATATGCTGAGTTGACATCCCGCAGTTACTTTTATGAGCACTTACAAGTGATTTGCCACACCAGTTGCCTA